TCGTCAACCTCTTCCTGTTACTTTCCAAGAACTGCGAATTCCCCTTCCACAGGTAATAAATGATTACCATCTGCTACTCTGATACAAAAAAAAATGTAACGTTGATACAAAGATTATATTAAAGTAAGAGGACGACAATTTATATCAAGATATTTGATTTGCTTGTCTAACAATGTTTTTCCGGAATTAAGCGTTTAAGGATTAAAATATTACCTATATGTATTTTCTTCAATTCCTTACACCCATGGTTAAATAACTCGAGTGCTGCCTTCTTGTGAAATTTGATGTCAAAGGTTAACTTTTTGCGTTCTGCAGCAGACGTGGGTTTTATTTTTACAGAGTTTGGAAACTGCTTTCACAAAATTACTAATTTTAAGAAATGTTATAATTGAAAATAAATGTCGAGGAGAAATGTCGAATTTAAGAAAACAAGGCCGGTATCCTCATTTCTGGAAAGTCCTGCATTGTAATGAGTTAATGTCAATTTGTTATTAAAATGAATAAAATTATAGGCAAAATGTATTTCTTTTATAGCTATAATGTATTGAACAACTGGAACTAAAATTTGTAAATGAGTGCAAAGGATATATAAAATTTGTAACTGTGCCGTAAAAATGAATTTGCTTTGTAAATTTAAGAAACAGAATGTTGATAGGCCTGAGTTATGCGACAGCATAAAAACTTTTGTTGTAGCTCAATGATTTATGAAGTAAGAGAAGGGGACCCTCCACTTTTGGGGGAACCTTATTTTGTTACATAGGGTATGTTTTTGTTTACTAGTTTTCAAAAATTAATTGATGTTTGGGAACTACTTGGAATGAGGAATCACTGGTGGTTATCCCATAAATCCTCCTCTTCTATACATCTTATATAATATAAACGTCATACTAATTGATCCGTACATAAGACTTTTGCTTAAATCTATTTAACTCTGTAGCTTGCACATAATGAAACAGCTCTTTTCAGCATGCTTATTTTTAGCCGAATCTAAATGATCTTTTGTTTTCAGCTGCCAATTGTTAAGCTTTAAAATATATTATCGATCCAATCAGTAATTAGCGACATTCTCCTTTCTTTTCAGTTACCTAATTAGTCCCTTGGTATCTTCCTTACGCCTGCAATCTAAGCAGTTCCCCTTTTACTACTGTAGATTTTCCTCTGGCAGGGAATTTCTAATGCTTACGATTAGAAAATGTCACACGTCTTTTCTCCTTCAAAGAATAGAAATTAATGACTTTTTGACTGATGCTTTGTAACAGACTGTGTGCTTCGATTTGCTCTGTGCTTCGTATCTTCGATTTAGAGTCTAAATTAAACTCGATAGTATTTTAAATAGCATTGAATCTGGAAACGCTTAAAGAAAAATATTCTACACTCTGTTTTGAACTTTTCACCTTAACGTGTTTTTAGTCAAACGAGATCGGAGATGAAAAGAAAAAAAAAAAAGTATATAACATATGATTGTTAGGTTATTTCTAATAAATATATGTTATTAACATACTTCTTATATCGGGCACAGTTTCCCAACCTACCTTAAAATTCAGTATTAATTGATTGAAAGACTTGTGCTCTGTAATCTCAGTTAAAAGTTTTAATATTTTAATCTTAGATATATAATTTAATTTTATGTATTTATCTATTTATTAATTATAAGACTAATCTCAGTTACAAATATACTCAAAAAGTTAGCGAATGAAAGTAGTAAGCTCTGATAAAATGAAAATTAACGATACTAAATTTCTAAGTCCTTAATCTTAATTAAAGACATGAGAAATAATTCTGTTACCTCTTCACTGAAAGGTAGGAAAAAAAAAAAAAAAGGTTTCACTTGCAACTGAGCAGTTTTCACTTTATCCCCTTATAGTTAAGATACTGTGTTCATGTTGGGATTAAGATATCGGTGCTAATTAAACTAACGAAGACTTTTTAATCTAGTCTAATTTGCCCATGGGAGCAAAAAGTGACTGTCGAGCAACAAATCAACTAGCAAATTCTGAATGCTGGAAGGACGACTAATCCTCTTAGAATATATAGCATTAATAATCGAGTATTTGGGTATTCCTTCTTTTTAATTGAATTTTTAGGTTTGCATAGATTAGAAGTACAACCATATTTGTAAGTACAAGCATTATTTAGTTTCAATTTTATATATTGAATTGAAATTTTACAGAGCACCTTTAAAGCCGATTATCTTGCATTCAGAAAACCTTTAAGGCTGATTTATCTTAATATATTTTTCTCTTTTATTTGAGAAGAAACTAGAAATGAGAACAAAAAGTCTTGTGTAGGATAGCTTAAATTTAGCAACTTTCGCAAGGTAGACTGGAACAGGAGGATTGCGTGATCATGTATATTTAGCCACGATCCCAGATTTATCCTGTATGTGAAACTAAGGAAAGGCTTCATAAAAATCAAAATTTATAGTACCTTGCATAAAACACAGTGAAACAGTAAAATTGTGCATGTTAATGTTAGATGAATATAAAATAAGCATATGTGGCATTTTGTAACTATAGAATATCTATCTATAGAAGCTTATTGTCGTGCTCCCTACTCAAAAAAAGACCATTTTCATATATGTATATCTGTGAAACTTGAATTGGGGCGATCTGTTTTTATTCTCTTTTTATAATTCGGCGATTGATTGCAATTTTAAAAACATTAGAAAATATGCAAATCATTCTTAATTCTTACGCCCAAACTGTAGTTAAAGGATAGCACTATTTATTTAAAACAAAACATTTCCCGCTTAATGAATTGACACGATTTGATACAAGAGAGATGAATAACAAAATACTAATGAGCTTAAACTTTGGTAAAAATGGAATTTATTTCACGCATTAAACTTATTGCTGTCAGAACTGAAATTATTTATGTATATAACGCAAACAAATCTGCTTTTGGTTTGATACATGAAACGAAAGGTTTGTTAGTTCATTGATTATAGCAAAGCACGAGGCTGGTTAGTTAACTGATTATGACAAAGCACGCAATGTCTTATCGGATTTAAGAGGGATGCTTTCATGAAGGACTTTCTATATACAATTCTTTAATATTCTCGTGAGGGGAAGCTACGATAGCTTGATGCTGACAGCATGTATCCCGCGAACCGAATCTGCCTGGTGGATTTTTCAAGGTGTTCCGTTTCTGAATTCTAAATCTTTCTTCAAATGACTTTCTTTATATTTATTGCTAATGTAGTTTCTGATCTGAAGTGTTAACAAATACATGTGAATCGTAAGTTTAGCTGCAATTTAAGGACACTGTATTGAGAAAATTATTTTATTAACCTTATTTCGCTATTAACATATCAGTTATTTATATTCTTTAATGAGTTAAGGCAAGCCATATGAACGCTGTTATCAAATCAGTTATAAAAACTACTATAAGAATCTTTACAGGTTCCAAGATTTAAATTTTATAAAAAATTCTGTTATTTATTGCTACAGTAATTTTTCTGAGGGAAGCTTATGTTTGAAATTTAAAGTGGTAAGAAAAGCGAGTATAAGAACTCAGAAAGAAATGGTTAGACCTTGTAAGCTATACTATCCATTAATAAATTTGTTCTTATATGCTCGTAGTTGTTTTCATTTTAATGGAAGACGAGGATTTCCATAATAAATCTCAAGATTTCTTCAGATAAGTTACTTTTGCTTCTTCAAAGTATTACCATGATGACTTCAAATGAAAAACTGGCTTAGTTCCGATTGAGCCCATTTTCAAAACAGCCTTAACAGTTTTGTTCCCATTTGAACCTTAGACGGAAGAATTCAGTAATTTTACTCCCAGTTGAGCTCGACTAGAAAATATCCCCTCGTTCCATTTGTAACAAAGTCTGCCTTTTTACAACCTCTAATATTTTCTAATTATTGGTTGCTTTTAAATTTCGATAGGAATTGACTAACAGAAAATGATCTGTGTAAAATTTGATATTTCTTTTTAGAATTGTTATTATCAAACTGCGAAATAAATTTTACAATTTGATTAACTAACAATTTGTAGCCACTGCAGCAGAAATGTACTTTGTTCATTTACATCTCATATTACTTGAATTTTATAAACATTGCACCGATATTGTATTCGTAGCCATTTCGCAGCATAAGATTTTATATAAATGCTAGCTAATATGTAAGATTTTTTCGCCTTTCTTTTCGCGCACTGTCGTAGTGTAATTGGAAGTACGTCCGGTTAGCAAACGGGAGATCCCGAGTTCGAATCCCGGTGAGGTCATCAGTGATTTTTCGTGTTACATGGCTTTCACTCCCCCCCCCCAAAAAAAAAGAAAAATTCTGAACTAAATGCACAAGTGTGCCCAAACTAAAATGTTGTAGACAATAATTCGTCGACAGTTTGGCGCTTGGGTGCCCTTCTGGAGAGTCGTCTTTTACGTGGAAGAGACTGTAAGGAATTTTCTCCCCCATTTGAAAGGAATGCTAACTTCCCCATTTGTTTCGTGGCCTTTCGTGGTGAAATTGGAAGCACGTCTGCCTACCTGTCAGGAGGTCTGGAGTTCGAATCTTGGCGAGGTTCTTTATTCACGTTACTTGCTCCGGCAAGTACCGTATCTAGTAACAAGTCGGTCTAAGTTAATTGGCATGGCAGACTAAAGGACAATGTGTTTTATTGTAACGGAAGGAAAATTGATTGAACAGGAACAAATACTAAAAAAAAACTGCTATCCGATTACTAATCCTTTCATTTTTGTGGAAATTGTTCTTGGGACTTTCTCTTCTGATGATTACAAATGTAGGGCTTTGCATACCTACTTAATTATCATCCTTGCCTTGAGAGATAAAAGAAAGTATTATTACTTGAGGAATGTCATGCTTAATTTTCGTTATTCCACTACTGTCAGTACGTAAAAAGTATGCCTTTGCTTCAAATGTTGTTTCTAGAAATTATCCGTCTAGTAATCAATATATTGAATAGAATGCCCCGCCCTTTCTAGAACTCCGCCTACCTTCAAGAAAATTGTTCATGTGAGTGTCATTGTTCGACAGGTGCAACCAGGTGTGGGTCGATAAAGGTCCGCACGCGCACCAACCGCAGGAAGCTTTCGGCGTGGCCGATTCCTTACTGTGGTTGGTGGGTGAGTATGTTATTGGACAACAAAAAGCAACGGGCAAAGTTTGCGCCAAGTTTCTCCGTGTTTCATGTTTCTCAAATAAATTCACATTTCCTCAGCAATAATGTACGATTTTTTATCATTATTTGAGTAATTTCTTTCTTTTTAATTTTGAACTGGGTACTTGTATGTAGCTGAATAATAATGCGCTAAATAAATTTTGATAGTTATTTACACCGACTCTCTCAACTAGAACAAATTTATGGGAATTACTTTAATTTCAGATTTTCATTTTGTTTTTAATGTTTCATTCCATGCATTAGAACAGATAAGTTATAGATTTTTTTATTGACTTAGTGGTAGGTAATGTAACTGTAGTAAAATGAGTGAGAGATCCGTCAGTCTTTTTTGAAAAGTGTTTTTAAGGATATTTTGTGGTAAATAATTTTGCGCAGAGTTGATAAGTGCAAAGCTAAAAAACCATATAAACAAAAATTTCTGTCACATGCAACTATAGTCTTACTGAGAATGGTGGTGTAAAAAATTACAGGTATTCAACGATTTTGCTCGTCTGACCTCTGGCGAAACGAATATGTTAAATAGGTAAATTTTAAAAAATATTTAATTTGCTACTAAATTAATGCCAACTCTGACCAAAACCTTGTTGACTCTTGAGTGAACAAAACGGCGATCCGCGTAGTTGTGAATCATCTCTCGACTTTCTTTATACTGTATGCGGATTGGATTCAATACGGGAAGGATCTGATACTGAAAAGCAAATTATAAATGACTGTCATATTTTTAATTAAATAAGATGAACTGCATATTACATTTATTGGCTACTGAATAATAAATTTAGTATATTGGTATGACGAACTTCTGCTTATGTATGAAACTTCCTTATCCAGTTTAAACTTTTCATGAAATTTAAGCTGATACATGATTTTTAGTACTCTCTTAAAAGTCATCAACTTATTGATGACTATAAATTGGCAAAAACCGTCCGTTTGACTATCTTTACGCCTCATTTGCATTGCGGTGTTCTTAAGTAATAAAAAAAATTTCAAACCAGTTTTCAGATCTGCATTGTAACAGTTTGCTTGCTGTTTTTCACATAGCATTCATAAAATTCGGTCGTTTAGGAAGTTCATAAAAAGAAAATTTACGCATTTTCTATTGTTAGGTAAAACATACTTCTGGAAAAAAAAACTCAATGCTTTCTCTTTTATCAGCGGGTAAAGTCCAGCCACATTATGATAACAATGGTAACAAAAGAGAGCCGATTAGCAGGAAAAAAATTATTAAATATAAAGCTCGTAAATCAAAGTGTCCTCAATCCCGTGTAAGATATACTCAAATCATGGGTTAACTAATGTAGGATGTACACTAGAATATACACCAAAAACATGGCAATTTCTATTGAATGTTGAAGCTGCAGGTGCGGATAATCAAAGTATCGTTTTATCCATATATCGATTAAAAAAATCGTATGTTTTTATAATTGTTTGTTGGAAGCTTTAGGATTTATTTTAATTAATGGTTCCAAATTTTAATTATAAGAATATTTATTTAATTTTTTATCTTGTTTAGGTTTTTTTTTTTTTTTTTTTTTTTTTTTTTTTTTTTAAAGACTTCATTACATTCTTACCGCAAAGTGGAAAAGATCTGGTATCTGTAGAATTTTTCTGCTTTGAAATACTGTTTACCTAAATATCCACTTATATCTGAATGCTATTCCATAATTTTGCAATTCTTCTTATATACTTGGAGATAATTTATAAAATAAATAGAAAACAGCGAAATTTAGTGCCTGCAATATCTATTCAAGGCTCTGAACTATTATCATTAGCTTTTGCTTGCAATTCGCTAATTGAAAATGTTAAACAGTTAACAAAATTTTCTTGGAAAACTTCTCAGACTATTATACTATAACTTAAAACTTTAGTAAGAAACTAGTAGTCTGCTGTCGCGTAAATAAGCTCCCAACTTAAATAACTGATTAATTACAAAAAAGAAAAATTTACGGTACTCGTTGGTTTTCCAGTATCCGCAGATGCACCGCTTACAATGGATGGCGAATTTTGGCGAAGAAATCTGGTTTATATAATTTCCTGCAGATATTGCTCTGCAGTCCTATTCAAAATGGCATCAAGCAGACTATTATTCCCTATAGCTTGTCTCTGCATCCATATAAAGTCTAATAAAAGTAACAAGACCAATGCAAATAAAAAAATCGGCTCTGATCGGCCAAGCCGGCATTAAAATCGGCTAAAAAAATTGACGAAGATGAGCCGTCATTAAACTGTTACATGCTCAGATTTGTTAGTTGTGAAAAAGTCGAAAGCTTGAAAAGAAGCAAATGATTGACTTTACCGTTGCTTTAACTGTTATTTTAAGGGCTATTATCTGTTATTTAAAGGGCTTTTCGAGCAAACAATGAATTCGTAAATAAATTTTTTGTTGCCAGATTAGCGTGTTCAGAGTTTTTAATTAATATCTCGCACCAGCCAGCAGCAATCAATAATTAATATCTCGTGCAATCCGCAGCAACCGATTCGTAAATAAATTTTTGTTGCCAATATAGCATTTTCAGAGTTTTTAATTAATATATCTGCTGGATAAAATCGTACGAAGATGAGAATGGTAGAAATGGCTTCCCACGAATTTTTGGAATCTGAAAGTACCTCTCTCAAAACTCAAGTCTCCGCCGTTCCGCAGGAGAAATGTTGTTCCGAAGGAGATGATTCTCTATTCTGATTCCTTCTTTGTGGTTTGATAATTCCTATCGCTATCTGAAAGCAATTCGTTGACACAGATCTGATGGGCGAAGAAATCATTCGATCACAGCTTTTTTTAGCTCTGACAGCTTATTTTTGCACGTGATTGGCATAGTCTTCCGACCTCAATGAAAATCTGAACAAATGATATTCTGTAAAAGTCATGTTTTATTTAATTAACGTTTTCTTTGCCTTTGCCTCTTTATCAAGGTCTACTCAAATGCATACAATTATGTTCGAACAAACGTATTTTGGGTTAATTTTTACGTGTCCTTATTCCCCAAATTTAATTAGAAATATTTTGAGCCATTTTTGACTGTTACATGCATACAGCATAAACTGAGGAATTGCAGAGAGATCAAGAGGAATTTGGAATACAGGAATACTTGAAAACAAATTGTGCCCTTGCACCTAGTCTAACACGATATCTCCAATCTTGGCATACTATCCTTTGTACTACTAGAGAATAATGAATGAATGTCTTTAGTTCCTTGCAAAGTAAATCGAAACCATTAAAGTTAATACTGAAATGGAGGCTTAGAGATTATCTTGACTTCAGTATGGGAGAAAAGGATTCCGATAGTGTTAAAATCCGTAAAGTATTAAACGGTCAAAAGAATAAATTAAAGTGCTAAAGGAACAAAAATTCAAAAAGTGCATGCCGAGCTAATTTAATAGTTAATAAGAAAAAAGAAGAAAAAGAGCAGTCTCAACATACAAAAATAGCCTTCTCAACATCTTTCATAAAAACAAATACGATTATGAACTGTTTGACCTGTATCCTCGTGGAGGACTTTCTAAGGAAAACTGGGTCGTATTTAATTAAAACCACAAAAATACCCATTTTCAGGAATCGGCTTATGTTCTATGAGTAATATATTAAAAAAATCAGAATCTAGATAAAAAATTTTGAAATGCTTGAAATTGTTCTGCTTCTTTCATTATGTGTGGCCCATTAGCGGCCGAGCGGTAAAATCGCTGAACCCTCGTAGTTCGGTCTGAAGTTCGAATCCCGTGCACATACTACCTGCGGGGGCATTTTCGTGGTTTTCCCTATGTGTAACATATAGACTAGTCAATTTCCCTTAGAAAGTCTTCCACGAAGGCATCCCTCCTCTGACACAAATAGCCCTTGAGGCTTTACCGTAGGCACATAAACCAAACTATTATCTGTGCTTTCGTGGTTGAAATGTAACGTTACCTCCAGTATTATTCAGATAAGAATATAGAGGGTGTTTCAAAGCTAAGGGAGGAAACTTTGAAGTAAAATAAAACTTATCGGAACGAACTCGTTTTGTCACAGAAAGCATGGTTGCGCGTTAAGCTGTTAAGCGCTACATGGTGTTTTCTGTTTTTCTCGTGCATGCTGTCTTTCTTAAAAGCAGACACGGCTGTGATGTTTACCTTCATCTCTTCGTACATCGAAGGAATTCTAAATGACTAATGACAGTGCATGATCCTAACATTTCATCCGCGAATATCGCAGCTAATCCATTTCATTGAAAATAAGATTATTGAAGAACACCTGTTTAAGTAAGTCTGGAAATCAGGATATCTTTGAAGAGATGATGCAGATAAAGGGTAAAGAAATGAAATCATTGTCTCTTTAAAACTCTCCTCGTTGGTCTGAGAGAACTTCAGAGGTGCTATGCATTAAAGCCTTTAAGACATAGACTAGGATTTTGATCAGTTACTTGAACATATTTCATAATGTATAGTGGCCAGAGAAAAATCGCTCGTAAATCTTTATTACTTTTGTACCTTCCACCTGTCTTGATAAAATAAATTTGTACTGTATTTGCCAAACAACCAAACTTATGGATGGAAGAAATACGAAGAGAGCATTGATTATGTTTAACTAATCCATATTTTTTCGCAAAACCGGTGAAATGTAAATATTACTTAATTTTCTTATATTGTAGTGACATTAGGTATTTTTGAAAGCTGGAAAGATGAGCAATGCCCTCACCGGGAGTCGAACCACGGACTTCTCGAATACGCGTCGAGCGTGCTGACCATTATACTAACGAAGGCGTGCTAAGAAGGCGGAAGAAACACATTATATACCGCCCCTTTTAAATGGCGAATGGGGATTAGGGGAACCAATCGCCAAATCCTCGTGGTGAAGAATCATCATTCATCACCTTTTAATTCGGGCGCCACTGTAGAGATATTAGGTATTTTTGAAAGCAGGAAAGATGAAAAATGAGCAATGCCCTCACCAGGACTCGAACCACGGACCTCTGAAATACGTGTCGATCGTGCTGACCACTACAGGTGACAGG